TTTTTTTATAGAATAATATACACGCTGACCTTGCATTGTTAGTTTTACCACAATATCTGCTGTGAAACATAGTGCATACACATGCAGGTAAACAAATACACACACACACACCACTGAATTGTGTTGACAGCAGGACTGTTGAAACCCACGTCCTCTGGGCAGCAATCAGCTATGAAGGAACAGGAAAGCCAGTGTAATGATTAACTAGCCCAGTGGGCTATTATTCATGGCAGGTAGAGCAGCAGCAGTGCAGTCCGTGATGCTGCTCTCTTCTCTCCTTCTGCAATGCTGTTGGATTCCTGGAATCAAACTCAGCACAGGAAAGAAAATACAACAGCTACTCTATTGCCAACATAAGAAACTAGATGAATTCCCCCTCCTGGACTTCACATTTAAGGAAGAAACTTGCAAGAGGAAAAATCTTCTGTTAAGCTTGATGTTGAATCAACATGACAAATACCACTGTTTATCAAATATGCACGCATAATTTTTGGTAAGGCTAATAAGGTTATTGGTATCAGCTATAGGCAATTGTTTTCTATACAGCATGAAGTAAACAACTTTAATGGCAACTGGCAAGTATCAGTGTTGTTAAAAGCAGTCATGGTATTAATACTGGATCAGATGGTTAAAGGGCATCCATCTAGTTGAAAGACTAAACCATCAGAATCCCTGTAGCCAATCAGGGGGAAAAAAATAAATAAATCAGAATCATCACAGCTGTTCCCCCTCCATTCCTCTCCCTTGCAGCCCTCCAGAAATTCTTTCAGAATTCTGCCATATCTTACAAATTCCTCTCAAGCAGTCCATCAAAGGTGAACATATCATAATACCCACTGTATTTCACTGACTGGTACCTCACTCAGCAATTCACACTAATACATTACCTCATGTTATCGGCTTTTGGAAACCAAATTCAGTCTTTTCTACCTATCAACAACAAAATCTCTTCAGCCATGGCAGAAAACAAAATCAAAGTTTGAGCTTCAGTTTTTATTTCCAACAAGAGCATTTACTGCTTATTTAAGACCTTGAAAGAAAGTATTTAACAAAAAAAAAAAAAAAAAAAAAAGCAAAATCTTTCTTTCAATAAACTCACTTCCCCCTGAAAGGCTTTGCTCTGTGTATGGATTTTTCATTCACTTTAATTATTTTCAAGTGCTTCTGCTCAAGTCAGTAAGAATTAAGTATCCACAACATCAATGTAGGTCCTAGTGCTAGATGTTATAAACAAAATGTTCTTCAGTGGCCTAAATCTGCGTAAGTAGGAAGTCTTGAGAATTTGGAAAATCCTTTTCCACAAGGAGTACTTCTGGGGACCCCATGACCTATGGGAATCAGTTCTCCAAGGATATGTTATGGTGCTTACACCGCATAGACAGCTCATCTCCCTGATCACAAACACATATGTAAATCCTTCCTTCTATCTTGTACTAAAACAAGAACGTTGCTAGTATTTCAATGAAGAAAGCTAAATCTCACCTGTAAGTGGCTGGTGCCAATCACAGCGACTGACAAGACACCATCACTGAATCATGGGAAATCTTGAATCGGAAGAGACACACAAGGATCACCGAATCCAACTCCTGGCCCTGCTCAGCACCAGCCCAAATCCAAACTCCATGTCTGAGAGCAGTGTCCAAACACTCCTTGAACTCCGGCACTTGGGACTGTGCCCACAGCCCTGGGCAGGCTGTTCCATGCCCAGCACCCTCTGGTGCAGGCCCTGTCCCCCACCCCCAGCTCCCTTCCCCTGACGCAGCTCCATGCCGTTCCCTCGGGCCCAGTCGCTGTCACACAGAGCAGAGCTCAGTGCTGCTCCCTGTGAGGAGCTGCAGCCGCCATCAGGCCTCCCCTCAGCTCCTCTGTCCTGTGGTGTGCTCAGCCCAGAGCATCAGACACTCCTCACACCTCTTGTCCTCCAGACCCTTAACCGTCCTCAGACCCCCCCTAGGGAATCCCTTGTACTTTTATGTCCATCTTATACAGTGGTGCTCATAACACCACAGTGAGGTGAGGCCTCACCGATGCAGACCAGAGTGGGAAATACATGAAGATTTAGTCAGGCACAGTAGCCAAACAAACTCAATTAGGCGCTTCATCAAAAGCAAATTGTAATCTTTCATAATCTCAGCAGTCACCTCTCTTTCTCTCACATGCAACCACATACACTCAAACTATAACGAAGGACAAAAACTTTTGCATTCCTGTTAAGTGTTTACAGCCCAGATATCTTCCTGGTTAATAAATATACATCATTAGTTCAACAAAAAGAAGAAAACAAGCTTTAAGTAAAAGCCCTTGGCAAACTTCAGATGGAAGAGCTCAGATGCATTTATGTGCAGACATTCACAGGAGGAAGAAGAGGAACTAAGGCTGAGGAAAACACACAGGATTCAGCTATTATCTCACCATAAGCTATGGACTTTGACTTGAACTAAGACTCCAAAAATAAACACAATTAACATTTAAATCCCAAGCTATATTTTCAGTGGTACCCTTCCTCTTATGATTATACACAAGCTCAAAAACAAAACCCCAGCTAACATCTACAGCTTTAAGCAACTTCAGCCCTTAGCCCCAAGGAACAGCTATCACCCAAACTTCCCACTGTATCCACAGGCTTCTACTGGCCCATTCTGAATTAAGAACACAATAAAACTGAAGATACAATAAAACTAAAATCAAAGAGAGAAGAAACAGACAAAACGAAGGTATGGAAGGTGTGATACAGGCATTTGGAAAACCAGGAAATATTACCTCTGGTAAATCTCATTTTTAAGTCTCCTCACTTTCACTATGCATTCCTGTTTGTAGTGCATACTTTCACATAGATTTATAGCTCCTCTGCACTGTTGCCCATAGTTACATCCCACACTTACAGGTAAACCTGCAACTCTCTTACTCCAGAAGGGAAGGAAATCAACAGTATGAAGTAAAGTATGAAAACAATTCTGCACTTACTGACCTGCACTCGGTTATATCTTCAGAATAGTTGCTTTAATATACAAGTTGTTGTTGAAGTTTGATTTAAAAAATCCCTGTCAGTTTCGACATTCAGGTGAAAGTATTGCTGCTGGCTCCAGAATAATTTGCATATCTTATCACTAAGTAAAATGTCTGAGGCGCGTACCAATCTGATGAAATTATAAACAAGAGTCCACAGAAGCACACATCTTCCTGTTTGATTTCTCTCCTCTTCACTCCTCCATAATAAATTGTAAGATCATCTCATTCTAGATGGAGGTTTAACTGTGCATGCAAAAAGGAAAATGAAAGCAGCCTATTCTTTTTCCACACTTTACACCGGACAAAATTGTGGATTCTGTGAACAAGCAGAAATGCTCAGTTCGTTACAATCTACTTTGTCTTTAACTGCCACACAAATGGTAGAAAATCCAATATGTTTTCATATATCTTGAACAACTTTTCCACACTCAACACAAACTAATACATAAAACTACACCTCTTTTACTGCTATGACTAATATACATACTTAGCTTTATGTCCTGCAATTAATCTCATCTACTTCAATAAGATTATTCATAATGCTGTAAGTGAAATACATGTGTAAATCCTTGCAGAGTCACGGCCTGAATTGTCAACAGCATTACATGGAACAATTAAATGCCCATGCCCAGAATGGCTCTTCAGAAAGATTAGAAGAAATCTTTAGGCGTAAGAGGTAACAAAATCTACTCCAGGGAGAGGCTATGAGAGGAAGAGTATTCAGGGGATTGTCCTCCCTTGAGGAATTCACCCATCACCAAACTATTCCTGTAATACTATATTCACCTTTTTCATTGACTACTTATCACCTTCTCTCACCACTCCTTTCTCACTCTCCATCACATCTTGCTACAGCTGCTTTGTGCCAAAAGACACAGGATATACATTTTTATTCTTTTGTGCAGTAACAGGGTTAGAGAACAGTCTGATCCTCGTTTTGACTAGCTCAGTAATAAACAGTTCACATGCTAATTTTAACTGAGCTGGATGCACAGTTGAACAAATGCACCAACTCTCCTTCTTAACTTATTACTGAATTGTTCACATGCTAGTCTCTCAACCCTCTCAGCGCAGATTACTTGCCCAGTATACTCCATGGACAATCTTTAATCTGTACTTTCTTTGAGTTCACTACAAGCTGCTGCTGCTGAAAACAAATACTAATACCTAAACTGTTTAGTTCCACCTACTGACAAGTAGCTTACCACCTAGTTTGCTCTGTAAATATTCAGAAGTTCCATGCAAAGTTACTCTGTACATTATTTATGTATTTATATAGAGCATTATTTATGTATTTAGTGTTTGACTGAAAGTCACAGCTTCAATACACACTTCTGCTCAACAAAGTCAATCCCTTAAAAGTTCAAATGAGTATTTGTCACAAACATTTCACCTCTACTAATGAACTGCATGAACAAATGATAGAAAATGCAAAGCTGTATTATGCTTAGCAGTTAACATTTTAATAAGGAGGAGATTAGCAATTTTTAATACCTCCAGTGCTTTGTTATATACAGTAGCACAATAACTGAATATTTTAATTGCTAATTATTTAGACCTCATTCAGTTCTCAGTCAGGCAAAACTCCCATTGAGGGATTCTTGCCTGAGAAAAGAGCTACAGGATTTGTCTTACTTTAATTTGAAAAAACTTCATATATCATAAAAACTATCAAGTTATAGCGAGACAAAAATCATTAAATCCTTAGCAATATTAAACTCTACTGAAAGTCCCACTGACTCCCAACGCCAATGTTTTTATATTAAGTAAAACAGATAATTGCAGTTTACCAATTGTTGCTTACCTGCATAATTTAGGCCCAGATATGCTGGTGCACTTAACGAGATCTAATAATATTTTGAGTCTTGTTATTGTACCCCTGCTTTTTTCCTAGGGGAAATCTCAGTTCAAATGTGATAGAGAAATAGCATTTCCAAACAGTTACACTAGCAACATCATCAAAACCCCCAGAAAGTAGCATTTAATTTTACCTTTTGACTTCGGACTCCAAAAGGGTTAAGAGCAGCTCTCAACAATTCTTTTTTATGCTGCTGTAAAAAAAAACAAAACAAAACAAAAAAAAAAAAACAAGCTTACTAAAGCTTATGTTTTGAGATTTGCACACAAAACATCTTGAGTTTTCATAACAGTCAAATAACTAGGAGTCAGCAGGGGAAGTGAGCAGAATACTGCATGTATGTGTGTGTGTGTGTGTATATATATATATGTATCAATATACAACTACCTGAAGGAAACAAAGCGGTCTTACACATTCACATTTAGCACACAGCTGACAAACAAATAAGCTAAATGCGCTAGCACTCAACATGACACATTCTGTGCATAGTTCAGAGAGAAAACTTACACAACTGAACACCAATCCAGTAGGTACCAACTCATATGACTTCATGCTTAAAAGAAAACATTTATTTTTTCCATTACAAGTAGTTTTTATCCCTAGCTGGAATAAAACAAATGGGTGCCACAACCAAAGTTTTGCTACTTGTTTTTATCTTCAAATGCATCTGTGGAAAAAGTTACAAGTAAATACTCCAAAAGTTCAAGAGTTTAAAGTGGTTCTTTCATGTTTCTTTAAAAAATGTGCAAGATATCCTTCCATCTGTTATATCTATAATTGGCTTTAGTGACTAAAATGATCAGAAAAATCTCTGTATAGACTGCTTTCCGAGAAAGAATTAAAAACAGACTTAGTACTATACAACAGAAGTTGACAAAGTGTTCAGAACTGGATACCAAACAGGAGTACTCTGATGTCAGAAATTAGACTCGGGCACTCTACTTCACCAGTTCAAAATAAGGCCTAGGGATCTAACCAGCATAATTTCCAAATCCGGTTATGAGAGGTTCACTCAGATTACAATTCCCAAGCCCAGTCCAGCCAGGCTTTGTGCTTTCTCACAGGAGCAGCAAGATCTATTCATCACTCCCAAGTACTGAACTTCCATCTAGGAACCCATGGCCAACCTAATTACAAGCTCAACCATGGCAGAAATGGGCTAACTAAGCTTAGCGGTATTCTGTAATCCTTCTCTGGTGAGGGGTTTTCAAAGCTACACACAGAGAGACATTTTAGTCACTGAGATTTTGACCCCTTTGTCACACCACAGAACTGAATCAACAGCAATTATTTGCCATAAGCTTGTTTTCCCAGATCTCAGATGATCTGCTGTATTAATGGACCTGTGATCTGCTACCTGCTAAAACTAAAATGCTACAGAAAAGAACTGCTCTTTGAAGCAATCTAGTTTATAAGGAAGGAAAGGATGCAATGCATTGCTTACTCAAGGTAAAGATGCTGCAATGACAGCAGGCCTTCCAGTTCATCATTTCCAGGCCTGACTTCCCACCTCTGTCTTGCTACTACAGAGGTGCTTCTGTTTCCTTCCTGCCTACACACTCACAACTTTGAGTATCTGCAGCCTTCCCTTTGTTTTCTGGGAGCTTTCTACCTCCAATCATAACCAACAAACCATGCCCTAAGTTCATCACTTGAAGACACTTCCCCAGCCTACATGGGTCAGTCATCAGCATCAGCTGCTGTATGGAGTCTTTCACTGTTTTCAGGGAAGATTTATTTTGCTCAAACTAAGGCTGTAGAGCACGTCTTTAGCTTTCATAAGGTCCGTCACTGCCTGAACAGACACACTGGATGGCAGCTGGTAGCACTTTCTAACATCACACAACCACAATCTCTAATCGTCTGACAGTTCTGCACTGACAATGAATAAAGCAAAACAGAAGGCCTAAAATATCGAGTAATGAGATCAGATTTTGACCTTTAGATGCTGCTACATGTATTGCACGAGGGTGTATGGTTTAAGCGATATAGGTGATAGCAGGAAACTGTGCTGCTTGCTTTGTTGTCTAAGTCATCTAACAACTAAAGCACTCTGTACTGGCTGGCAAACTATGTGCTGCAGTCAGAGATGACTTGAATCTCTCTACAGTATGCTGGGTGAGCCCAGGAAGAGTGCATTATGCTGGGGAATTCAAAATAAATGAAAAGCAGGAAAAAGCATAGGAAAATTGATCACGAGGGGAAGGAAAATCTTCTCTATTTAAAACTCATTGATTAGTTGGGCCTGCAGCGATACTTAGATGTTATCTCCTCAATCTCTGTTAAATCAGAAGTCTCAGGTCTTCTCTGGTCTACTGCAATTTCAAATTTTGTACAGCCATGACAAACACCTATCCTTTTCTTAGTTAAAGTTTTTGCTAGAAAATGCTACACAGAAGTCAGCGTAACTGTTATGTTATCTTGATGTATGTTATCTTGATTGTCACTATTTTTAATTAATCCTTCCCAAATTTCTGTAAGTCTGAGTTTAATAAGTGATAACATTTCTGCCACATAGTTTTTAATACTACTTTTATATGAGATTTAAGTTAATCAAGACTTACACTTGTGGTAGTTATTTGTTGGACTAACATGCTAACAGACCATATCATATCTAAAATTACAAGCTGTTCGTTTTGTTTTAAATTCCAATCTCCGTGTTTACATTTAATGGTTTCAGTTAGAGCAACAGCTTATTGGTGACTCAAATTATTTCAGATAATACCCTCTAAATCTGACATCATGAAAAACTATGCACACAGTTCAGGAAATAAACTTCAGTTCCACTGGAAATATAAGCCTTATGTATAAAGCAAAAGTGAATATTCTGCAGCATGAGCTTAGGATGGTCTTACTGGCCTCAAGGTCACAAAATATATCACAATCCTCAGTCTTGAGATAGTTTTCTAAAAAAAAAGTGTTTTCAGGGATGAAGTATATTAGTAAGAGATCTACCATAAAGATAAGAAACAAATGTACAACATAAACAGTTCTAAATTAGAAATGCTTCTTCCACTATGCCAGCTGCTTCTACAGTATCAACAGTAATAAATGTTAACAGGAAAGAACCATGTATACTCGTCCATTTCTTTATGATAATACCATATAAGGAGCATGGCCTTTTGACTTTGCTGTGAATGAAAAGAAACCTATTCAGTGAATTATCAACAAATTAAGTAAAACTAAGATAAATACATTCCATTCAATAATATGTAAAGAATGCATAAATTTACATTTCCCTTGCTTATGGAGCTTTTGCCAAAGGGATAGAAGATATTATAGGATAACAATTACACAAGAATCTTCTCTTTTTAAGGCTCTATGTACAAACAGTAACATTCAAAGAATAAAGATAAATTATATTAGCATTATTCCAATTCAATTCTTCCCAAACACAGTCTTCATATATGCAAACTAAACTCTGGCAGCACATAGACGAAAGGAATCACTGTTGATTAATGGCAAGAATATAGCACCAAGAGTTTCAAACAATGATTCACTGTGAGACTACCAGTAAATCTCTTGGACTTTTCAGGTTCAGTCAACCTGGCAATGAACATTGGGTAAAGTATGCCCTTAACAAAATGGACAATGCATCACAGTAATGCTCTTTTTGAAAAGAGACTCATGTGAATGTACTGCTTATGAAAAAAGCTAATCTGCCAAGCTGAGAGTTTCAACTCCTCTCATTTCCAGGACAGTACTGCAAGCAGCAGAAGATTCACTGTCACAGGCTTACTGCTGTCCCTCTGCCTTGAACTGAGGGACCGTAATGAGATTCTGTGGCTCGTTCAGTCTCTCCCATTGGACCTACAAGCACCAACAAATTACTATTGACCGTAGTAAAATCTTTTGTGATACAGACTTCTGTCTACTGAGAACTAGACTTGATTCACTACACAAGCTTGTTTGTCTGGAGGAAAAAAAAATAAATCAAATGACTAGCATTAAACTTCCATCATAAAGATAGATTCTAGAAAATTTCTACATGAAAACTGCCAGAAACAGACTACTGACTGGACCTGTGACCATAAAATAAACTGGATAAGAACTGGCTTTTTGGCAGGGGTGAGTTTTAAAGAATAATACCCAGTTTACAGTCCCACTGTTAAGGCAGGATAAAGTCCTCTAGAAAACAACTTAGCGCACTTCTAAATTCTATTTGAAGAGAACTATTTACCCACATTTACCTATACAGAAGGCTTAGATTAACTGTCCAGATCGAGAACAAAATGACCCTTGAAGACAATTAATGCACTGGAGGAAGGGAAGTAGCAGAGCATTCCATAACACCGTCTCCCAGCTTAACCTCCTCTTAACTTTATTTAACTCAACTTAAACAGAAAACATTGCCTGGAACATGAGAGGCAAATGTTATTTTTTAATACTGGTGGTACTAGTAACTAGCATATATAATTCTTCAGAAGGAAATACCAGTGCAGACAGTGAATTAAAACATGCCATGGTAACAGATGAAGACTTCAGTTGTCAACAAAATAGGCTATTAATTCTCACATAAACAGTCTTTCTACATCTTTGATTTTTAATATATAGACCAAAGATCACTCTCACATTTCAGCAGCTTTTGTCTTTTAATGCCAATCATTTCAACTGACTTTTCTTATGCCCCATGCTTTCTCTCACCCTTGGAAAAGGAGAGTGAAAAATATCAAATGGTATCTTACACTGCCAAGACCAGAGAAACACTTCAAACATTCCAAAAATTAGGCGATGACTTTGCTTAAGGTGGGGAGGGAATGTTATCAACAGTGGGGTGAATTCTTGCCTGGCAGCAGGAAAAAGAAAAAAAGAAACCCAAATCTCATTCTGTTTCAATCTATGCTAAGGTCTGGGCTATGTGAACAGCAACAGAGAACCACTGAATGTAGAACAGAGTAATTTGGTTGCTAATCATGTTTTCTTGTTATTGTTTACTTCTTCACCACCCCCAAGAAACAGACATGGAGATTCAAGAGGAAAGTGGAAAATTATTGGCCTGATTGTGACTACTGAAAGCAAAGATGCCCTGACAGATCCACTCAATTGAACTATCACCTGCCACAGCATGCAGTCCCACAAGGAGCAGTTCTAAATATATTTGTGAGAAACTCACACTGCTGCTGGCCTCTCCGTACCTACTCAAACGGCAAAGATGATTTCAGACTTCAGAGCTGTCAGCTTAGCACTTTTCAC